GTTTTTTGTTATCTTTAATGTATGTTTGGAATGCAGAACATTTTTGGATGACAGAACTACGTTTCTGGAATCTGATATTGACTCAAAAAGCCTCACATTCTGTATATTCATCCAGGACATCCACGAATGTCATTTTGTAACATACCAAAACTAAAACAAATCCTATTAGCTACAGTCCAAATGTCTGGCATTAGAAATATCTGAAAAGAGCGCACAAAACTTCAGCCATAGGCAAAATTTTCTCCTTTCAGTGTTTTTAGTACCTTTATCCAGATTGGGAAGGAAGTTAAACTAAAATGCATCTCTGAAAATAACACTCTAGGTGACTTAAAAATAGAGGGAGGGTGAAACAGGATGTTAGCTAAAAATACATTTTTGAAAAGCTACCTGTTCTCTGGAAAATTGTATTTACATCTCTCCTGTAGGGAAAAGAACACTGGTAGAGAGATTAAAAACAAAGGTAACAAGATAATTCTTCACTTTCAACAGCCTGTGAGGGGTGACAAATACTACTGGGGTGCAGGGAGATTTTTTTCTATGGAAAAATCTTGATTTGTTAAATGTGCTCCACAGGCCTTCACTGGCCCATTCCATATCATTTATTAAAGCACAGCAAAACACAGCAATGTGCATCTAATACTAACACATAAAGAATTAGACACTTTAGTGCAATGTAATGCTTTTAAATGTAAAAGTGCCTAAAACAATGTTTGTCCCTGTGGAAGAAACCAAATGTATATCCATCTTCTGCCTATTGGTTATAAACAAGTAAAAGCTTTCATTTCAGTGAAGACAGTTCAAACCTCAGCTTAAATATAAATATATCTACTTCAGGAAGGACTTGATTACTGACAAGTGACGACTTAGTCACATCCATACCATCTTTCTAGAAACAATATGGAAGTGATTTTCCATTGCTTTTATCCAGGATTTTAAAAAACTATTGTTATTACAGTCTGGTCCTTGGCCTAGATATATCTTCTGTCATGCAATTATTAAGCATCTCTGACCTGCACAAGGTCATTTTTTTTCCTAGCAGGGCCTCCCACAAAATTTGATTGGCTCCCACTCTAATGTTAGGTTCTTGGTCTAATGGGTTTACTGATTGTTATGTGATCACTTGGTTTTGTGTTTTATCTTCCTTTACCATGGCTGTATTTATATGGCTGGTGAATGTGAACCAAAAAGTATTTGGGGTTGAAGTAGAGTACTACATCTAATTAATAAATATAACAATTCGGCTTGCTGAATGTAAGATGATTACAATTCAACATGAATGAATTGATATACAAGCTCAAAGTAGTTCAATTGCTAGGCAACTGTATATAGAAAAAGGAGGGGAGAGAATACACAAAATGCACAAGTAGCAGAACATCTGCAAGATTCCAGCTCTGTACTTACTAATAAATAAATAAAATTAGAAAAAGAAAATCTACACTCACAATCCCTCTTTGGGCAATGCCTGCCTCTAACCAAAGAACAACCTGACCTTATCCATGCAGCTGATTTCAGAGGGTTTTGACTTCAACTGACCAAAAGATTATAGCAGCAAGGCAGGAAGGGTGAAGGGCGTGTGTGCTTGAATTTCATGTTTGAACTGCCAAGACAGCAAGCCATTTCTACTAAGCATCCATCATGAGCCTCCAGAACATAGATTTCATTTCAGTCTAGAAATGAAGAGATGGCTTTGCCTTCTGGAAAATTTGTGTAAATAAGGCGGCTGCTCTCCCGACTTTCCCTCCCCTCCCCTCCCCTCTTCTCCTCTAGTCTACACACACACACACACACACACACACACACATTGCAGGAGAAACGCTGGACCCTCAACCCCGTGCGTAAACAACCCCAATCACCTTCCGGCTAAGTCTCTAATATTCCCACTCGGGCGCATGGGAACCCACCCTCAATCCCCCGAAAGCGCGGGCGGGGAGCGGGGGAGGCCGAACCAAGACGGGAAACCAAAGCATCCGGAGTCTGAAGAGAGCCCGAAGCAGAAGAGGTGGGATCACAGCAGCTTATTAACCGAGGCTGCAGCAGGTCCAGTCCAATCGAGGCCAGGCGCGGCGGGGGCGATGGCGAGCGAAGGCGCTTCTAACGGCCAAGGGAAAAGCTTCCGCCCCTACGGGACAGAGCCGCCGAGTTCAGCCGCGGTGCCCATGCTGCCGGCTCTGGAGGTGTCGGAGGAGCCGGAGAAAGCGGCAGCGGCGGCGGCGCTCAAAGGGAAAAACAAGGATCCTTCTTACAAAGTCCTCTCCCTGGTAAGGAGGCGGCGCGCTTTCGGAGGACAGCTCAGCCCCCGAATGGAGGAAAGCGCTTTGGACTCCAAAGGGGGGCGCCTTAGCCGGGTTCCAAGCGACTCACTTCGCGGGGCGACTGTGAGGATGAGGCTTGTCTGAGATCAGAGAAGGAAAGATGGGTGTTGAAAAGGATGCAGTCTTTGCTTAAGGACTTTTGCGCAGTTGGTTGGCAACAGAAAGCTACCCGGGCTTTGCAAGCGCACGGATAAACATTTTGCGTGGAGAAGGTCTAAATCTCTGGGTAGGATTGGGAGAAATGCTGCCTGGTTCCCTGGATCGCTGTTGGTAATCACAATAGTCTGGTTTGTGTAAGGCAGTCCCCCTGTTGGTGTGTGCCTTGATACCTTCCCGTTTATAGCGGGACTTTTCTCAGGTAATTTAGTGCCCACAGATCTGGAAGATGCCAGGTTAAAGAAAGCTAATCTGTGGCGTGATTATAGACACCTCTGACTTTAGAGACTACAAAGTTTTCTGGGCCATGGACAAGTCATTTTCTGTCCCTGCACAATCACAAATACCACAATGGTGATTGATAGAAGGCTTGATTTCATCAGATGTGGTGGTTTCAGTGCCTTGATTTCTTCCTAAAACATTTGTAACCATAAATAATATATAGAAACAGGCTTCTAAACGTGTATAGCAGTGTTTGTTAAAGTGCAATTCTAGGAGTGTGGGCTATAATGTTGAGATCCCTCAAATGTCTGTCAGGGATCCATGAAAAAAAATATTTGCCAGCATATGTTGAATCCCATCAAACAATTGTGAGAATGCATCATTTTTAATTTTTCATATGGTAAAATATTGATAAATATAACCCAAGCAAACAAAAACTGTTTTGGGGATCCTCCATAACTTCAAAAAGAAGGAAGAAAAAGGTTTAAGGAAGACTGATGCACAGAGTGCAATTCCTTCAGTATCAGCTTCTCCAGAAGAACTACATGGGTGACACAAACAGTAAGGAATCTAGTTAGGGTAGGGTTTAAACTCAATGATTTGCTCTCTCAGGCGCAAAGTATTATATACCATCCTTAACCCTATCCTGAATAATGTCCAAGTGGTAGTATTGCCTGAACTATTTTAAACAGATCCCTTGTTGAGACAAGCAAATGAATCTTGCTTGGAGCAGCCCCCTCCAATTAAATGCCCTCTGGAGCCAGAATTCCCAGTGAAAATGGCCATTGGGGTGGGGCATCACTTGAAGAAGCCTACACTGTATACACTATGCCCCCAAAGGTGAGGTGGGCCCCCACTTTCTTGCCTTTTCAAAAATATCTGAAGACTTGAATCTGCCAACTCACTTGGGGTTCAAAAAGGAGCATATGGCTCCTATGGGTCTTGTTAGTGCCCTGAAGGCCCCTCCCCTGCCTTTTAATTGCCTTTTAAGGTTGAATTTTTTTACTATTTTTGCCTCTATTTTAAATTTTTATGTTCAGTTTTTAGCATTTTATTTGTACACCACCCAGAGTCCCTCTGTAAGGGAGAGGAGCAGTTTCTAAAATACATAAACATGCTAGATATTGGATCTAACAGGCTTACATTTTCCAGTGCTAGTTAATATTATTTGCACTTTAATTGCCTTTCCGTACTTGCACTTACCATAGATGTTTCATCTTTCTAATTCACATTTAATTGGGATTATCCTATTGCTTGTTTTATCAGTACTAGAAGAACAGCTGCTTCTAGTACAAAGCTACTTTGCTTTGTACAGCTGCTTCTAATACAAAACTACTTTGTATTGAGTAATACAAAGGAAGTAGGACAGATTCTGTCTATGTGCCCTTTAACTTCTTTGGTCTGAAGATGAGCTGTATTGTGGATTTATCACCATCTACCTTTGGGATAAAATAATGTATAAATAACTGACTTAAGAAAATTAGTATGACCTCATTCAGCAGATGTACTTGCTCTCCTCTCTCATGCTCCACATCTGTCTTCCTTATATTCACCCTTCTGCAGGACTTTCCTGACCCACCATCATGTTGTGGGTTGAGCACTTTTAGTTTGTTACGCTACATACCCTGTTACGCTACATACCCGTCTTCTTTGGAACATATGTAAGACCTGGAATCATGGAGGAAAATCCATTTCATTTATCCATTTGACTTTTTTTGAGCCAAAAATCCAGCCCAGCTGCAGTCAGTATTGTTCTGGAGGACATTCTTTAAAGATCAACTTTCTGCTTAAAGAAAACTTGGGGGAAAGTGTTATCATCCCAGAATCAGGAGACTGGGGCCATAAATCATTTTAGCTCTCCTTAATCTCTTGAATTTGCAAACAAATCACAAGCTTTGACCCCAGTATTGTCTAAAAGGCTTAAACTGAATGGAGAGCAACCAGGGAGGTTATCTTTGTGATTAAGAACTTGTCACAATAAGAAATCGGTTGCTGGGTATGTGCTATAATACTTCTGTTGCTGACTAACAAAGTGGCTAATCTTCCAGAATGTAACTGCCTGGGGGGTCTTCAGAAGATTGGTTTGGAAAAGGAACTTACTGGTATCCAACAGAGATTTTGATTTCTTTCAAGTAGTGTTCTTCGCAGCTCAAATGTCTGCTTTTTCAACTCTAAGCTTGGCACAATTAAAAGCACACCCATAATTATACCGCAAAAGCAAGCCTAATGAATAGGACTGATACCTGTCAGAGAGAACAATACCCATATGGAAATTAAAAATAATAGAAAAAAAAAGTAAAAGAAGTTCTTTGCTTCCTCTCTTCCATCTGTGAGGGTCTTAATATGTCATTAGAGTTGTTGCTGGTTTGGCTGTTTCTGTTCCACAAGTACTGTATTGTAATTTCATCCTGTCTGAGCCATTTCTATTAGGCCTCAGGGTTTGTAGCCCGTTCTTGGTAAAATTTCTCTATCTCAATTGGTTTCCTTCTATGTAGTAATGAACAGTTCTGGTACTTGACTCAATGACTGAATTGGCCACTAGTGTGGCTAAACCCAGGGCTAATTTATATTCTCTGTGCAGTATGCCATAAAAATGTTATGAAGTATTATGATCTCTGTAGAGGCTCTGAATATGGCTATGCAAAGGCAAGAAACATATTAAACTAGACTATTTTAAAATCTGTTTAAGAAGATGATGGCTTAGAAATAGGCAACTTGATTTATTCAAGTAAATGCCTTACCAAGCGCAGCAGCAAGCATAAAAACAGTTTGGAAAAAAAAGAACATTTTTGTAACTTTAGCAGTACTCTCTGCTTCTTAAGAATCTCATCAATCATTCTTCCGTATACATTTGTTATTTTTTCTCGGTTTGCCTTCCAGTCCCATGAACACCCACCTAAAACTTTGAACACTGGGGAATTTATATTGGAGTTTAGGCTTAGAATGCCTAGATTTGTCTATGGTCCTGAAACCCAACAAAATCATATGTAAAGTCTCCAACTTCCCCCCCCCCACACACACACTTTTCACTTTTGCAATTGCATGACCTTTTTTTCTTGAGTTCATTCCCTAATGTCAGCATACATTGACAGCATGACCACTGGGAGTAATTTAAATTTGCCTCAGGACAGAAGTTGTTTTACAGCTCTTCTTTGTGGTACAGAATCTTCCCTTTAGAAGACTGGCTCATATAGGCCAATTTTTAGCCATGCGAAACTCTCTAATTAAGTGCATTTATTTTAAGTTATATACACTTTTCTACTGAGCTCAGTAATCTTCATCTCGTCCTACACATACAGTTTGCATTCCACACGTCATCTGAATGTATTTCTGCAAATTCCACTCTTGTTCAGTATAGGTCAGGGGTAGGCAACCTTGGCTCTTTTATGACTCGTGGACTTCAACTCCCAGAATTCCTGAGCCAGCTGGCTCAGGAATTCTGGGAGTTGAAGTCCACGAGTCATAAAAGAGCCAAGGTTGCCTACCCCTGGTATAGGTCGTCCTTTACTTATGAGCATAACTGGGCCCAAAATTTCCATTGTCAAGAAGATAGTTGTTAAGTGACTTTTGCCTCATTTTGTGATTTTTCTTGCCACAATCATTAAGTGAATTACTGCAGTTGTTCAGTTAGTAACATGGTTCTCAAGTGAATCTGGTTTCTCTATTGACTTTGCTTGTCAGAGGGTCACAAAAGGTTACCACATGACTCTGGACACAACTGTCATAAATACATGCTAGATTCAGCCAAGCAGCTGAATCATGATGCTGCAATGGTGGCTCAGTGTGAAAACAGTCATATAAGTCACTTTTTGAGTGCCACTGTAACTTTGAATGGTCACTAAATAAATGTTTGTAAGTCGAGAATTATCTATATTAGAAGATTATTCAAACATATGTAGCACTTCAGACTGTTTCCTGACAACTGGGAATGTAGGGGTAGTTGGTGGAAATAATTAATCTCTCATGAATACTTCAGTGAACACAATCATATCTGGAACCCTGTACAGTGCTAGGCTTCCTTTAGGCTTCATCTGTCCAGCTACTTTGGTTCATGAAGCAGGATTTTCTCCTGCACTTGCATGCTTCAAGTTAATTAAACTTGATATTAAACTAAGATATTTGGATGGTAGTGGAGGAGAAAGAAGAAATGTATTCCATTGGCAGATGTTATTTCACCTTTGGATATAAAATATGGGGTAAAGCTAGTTGAAGGCATTCTTATATCATGCTAAGTTGTGTTATGACTTAGCTGTGAACAAACACGTTCACACCCATTGAGTCATCCTAAAGGTAAGTATGGCTTATAAACTATAGAATGAGCTATCCATGGTATCTGTACATCTCAACCAAGCTTGTTGATATATATTTTTAATCCTGCGTATTTGTCATTCTTTAGAAATGAGTAATAATTTGGGGAATACATAAAGGTGCAGAAGAAAAGCATAATGACACATAGTTCAAGACCAAACAGCTTTGAATGAGGGCTGTTGAAAAAACTCTGATATTTTTCCATTTTTGACTCTCATGTTCTGCTTGATTTCTATTTTCCTTCACTGTTTTTTTTTCCACATTAGCTTGGAGGAAGAGAAAAAAAGGCTATGATGACACTCAGACAGATTACAAGACAGGCTGTAGAAACCACAGCCATCAAGAGTAGAAGTGAAGAAATATTCTGAGGAAAATAGTCTAGCTTTGTAGCCAATATGTTATATTGTATAATACTGTACAGGTGCTAATGTTACGATACAATTTATCTTGTTTTCATCTAAAAAAATGCTTGCTTAATTTGCTGTTCAAAGGTTTTACTTCCTTGCTATCATGAAAAAGTTATTTCCTTTAATTAACCATCAGGTAACAGGGCCCATAATTATCACGACGTCATATTTATAGATTGCTGCTTCAACTACCTTCCATACAGGGGAAATCGTAAGGGGCCTAAATACTCATGTTTAGAATTTAAAAGTTTGTTACAGTACAAACCCATACAAAAACACATTTAGCAGTAAAATAGGGTTGTTTCATAGACTGAGAGAGAATTTATTTTGGTTTTTAAGAACAGCTTAATTGGTTGTCAATTTGATTCCTTCTGTGGTCTTTACTGCCTCAGCAGGAAGCGGCACAGCTAAACTTCACTGATAGAAATGATAGTTCTGTGTTGTTTCTAAGAAAATATGGGATTTGAATATAATTTAAAGGCACAATTATCTTTTATATATGTTGTTTTTATTTTTAAATTTATGTATGTTACATAAATTTAAAATCTAATGCTCTAATATCAGCTGACACAACAGGGCACTAAACTGGGCTTTGCCATCAAGCCTGTGGCCCTGATTGTATGGCTAAGCCTGTTTTGTATTGAGTTGATGAGTGTTCTCGGCTGCTGTTTTCTGCTATTTTTTCTTTTAGAAAAATGCTATTTCTTTTGTTTTTAATTTTGGTTATTTTTATTGTTTTTGCTCTGTTTTAATGGTTGGCTACCGGGAATCATGTATATGAGATGGATAGGCTATAAATTAATTAAGTAATTCTGCATTTTGTAATTCTTCTTTAAAGCAACTCCAGCACTTCCTGGCTAAATCTGAGTGCATAATAGTTTTTGTGAAGGTTTGGATTAATGTTTTCTTTTACATATTTTTCCCATTGGGGCTTTTTCAACCACAGACCTGTTGCAAGATTGTTTACTGCGCAAAGCAAAGGACTGGATGGGGCCTCTCAGTGCTGGGCTGCATTAACAGAGGAATAGAATCAAGATCACATGAAGTATTAATACCACTTTACAATGCCTTAATAAGGCCACACTTGGAATACTGCATCCAGTTTTGGTCACCACAATGTAAAAAAGATGTTGAGACTCTAGAAAGAGTACAGAGAAGAGCAACAAAGATGATCAGGGGACTGGAGGCCAAANGAATGCTCCAACACTGGAAGTTTTTAAGAAGAGACTAGACAGCCATTTGTCTGAAATGGTATAGGGTTTCCTGCCTGAGCAGGGGGTTGGACTAGATGACCTCCAAGGTCCCTTCCAACTTTATTATTATTATTATTATTATTATTATTATTATTATTATTATTATTATTATTATTATTATTATTATTATTATTATTACTTAGTGAAATTTGCAAATGTTTCTTTCTTAAGTACTCATGATGATTTGTCATCTTCTATTACAATTAAGAGCAGAATGTTCCCCAGAATTTTACGTCCACTCCCTGTTCTTAAGCACCTGCTGTTTGAAGCATAACCTCATTCTTCCTGGCGGGGAAACAAATATAGACAGACAGAGGATGGCAATGACCTAAGAAAGAACGTCACTCAAAATTTTGGTCTGTCATAATTAATTAATGCCACTTTTACCTGGAAAAAAATTCCACAGTTTTCAGTGAAATTTAATTTCAAGCTATTTTAGATCTGCAGATAAGAGTTTTTAAGAGTTTCTTTTCCAGAAATCCTTCATCTTATCCAAATGTATTTATTTAATAAAAGATGCATTAGGATTTTTATTTTTATTTTGCAAACATAACTAATTCATATTTGCTTATTGTAATGTAGGGTATAGTCACAACTCAAAAGTCTTTGTGGAAAATCATGTATTCTGAAGTGGCAATGAAATCCGAATGAAATCTTGGAATGCTTAATATGTGTTTAGAGTAAATCAATAGCACGAAGAGAGGTTTGCATCCATTCAGGTGCATCCAGGATCCCTTCCATTGAACATTGTTTTATTTATAGTTGTATACAGAGTCTCAAACACAAATATAAACCGTCTTTGTCAGTAGCGTGCTGTTCTTTAGATTTATGGAGATATATGGAAACCAGGGGCCACCTATTTTCATTCAATTCCCCCTTTTCCATCTTTGAATACAGAAAACCTTCTGCAATACTATATCCCTATTGAAAATAGTTATTCAAACACTGTTTACAGCAGACATGTCAAACTTGCGACATCATGTGACATCGCGCAACATATCAGGACGGTTTGCCATTGTCGGCAATGGGGTGGGTGCGGCTTCCAGATGATGTGTCCGGCCCACGGACCGGCAGTTTGACACCCCTGGTTTACAGGAAACATTACTGGTGCTTCTTTATTGTAAGCCTCTGTAGAGCTGGATTTTTGTAAGCAGCTCCTCATGTCGTTTATTTTAGAAATTTTAGAAATATGGTAGTCCTCAACTTACAACCACTTATTTAATGTCCATTCAAAGTTACAATGGCACTGCAAAAAGTGACTTCTGACCATTTTTCATGCTTATGACCGTCGTTGCCTCCCTATGGTCATGTGATCAAAATTCAGGCACTTGGCAACTGGCATGCATTTATTATGGTGGCAGTGTCCTTGGGTCATGTGATCACCATTTGTAACCTTCTCAGCTGGCTTCTGACAATCATCATCAATGTGGGAAGCCAGATTTGCTTAATGATCATGTGATTTACTTAACAACTGCAGTGGTTCGCTTAACAACTGTGGCAAAAAGGTCATAAAATGGGAGTAAACTCACTTAACAACTGCCTTGTTTAGCAACAGAAATTTTGGACTCAACTATGGTTGTAAGTCCTGTATTATAATTGCATATTCCAGAAAACTGGTTACCTTTTTTAAAAAAGTAGTCCAGCTCAATCTATTTGCCTTAGCCATGTCTATTAGATCCCCCTCTTTGGTAGTTAGCCATAACATTTAACATTTGCCCTTTACTGGTCAATTTGCTGTAAACATGAGAATATTTTTGAAATGTTCTGAGGTTTGTGGTGCTATGAACTTGCCTGTGTGTGGTTTGCTGTTGAACATACATCAGTGCAGTTCCACAGGAACAAGTTTTTTCCCACAAGATTTCCTGACTGCAAAAAAAGATTCATTCTTTTCTTTTCTGACCGCAATGATTCCCTCCGGAGTTTTCACTGGGGCAAACAATACATACCTATTTGTAATATGACACTGTCCACATGCCAGTATTTTTATTTTCTGCTCATGCTTTTTGGGAGATTTTATTTCTCTACTCATCACTCTTTCTCCATAGGAAAAAAAAATCACCTCATTATTCAGTCAAATAAAGTAGTATTCCCCTTCAGTATTTGGCACTGTTCAGAATAATCTCTTTGTAGCCAATGACAACAAATTTGTTTCTTCTTTTAGTTGAAGGGTAAGCTTTGAATGATAGCTTTTAGAAATTATTATAGGCTA